TGTTAACCCTGATACTTTTTATGTGCGTGTGTAATAATAATAATAATAATAATAATAAACGGTTTATTAATAGAGTTGCAGCCGGTGGCTGAAAATATGCAGACTTACATTTAATTTAGACATAATGATATAATATGCATTGAATACATTTACAGGGCTGTACAGTACATAAATGAGGAGTTGTTTATTATTTTAACAATAGATGGGATGGTGCTGTTGTAGTGGCGGACTGCAGGTGGCAGTAGGTAGCGACAGAGGGTGGTGCAGTAGTCCACGGCCAAACCTTTCCAGTGCGGTAGGTGTGTGTATGTGTGTGTGTGTGAACCAACTAATAAAGGAAGAGTAAGTGCTTCTCTCCATCTGTTAGTTAATCTCCAACACTCTTGTCCTCCAACAGTGGTGGAGGCGGCAGGACCAAGTCTCCATCTGGTCTCCGTCAACAGAGATGATAGCGGAGCCTTTTATGTGGCCTCCAATGGCATCCCCCCAGCAGTCTCCGCCAGGGCTGAGGTCTCCGTGAAGCTAAGTAATAGTTAATCTTTAAGTGTCTCCAAGTAATGGTTGATCTCCGTTAACTATCTCCGTTAATTATCTCCATTAAGTATCTCCAAGTCGGTCTCCATTAGGGGAGATAACACTTGATCTCTTAAGTAAAGTCAACTAAATGCAACAGCAATTTGGCCTCCATTAAGTATCTGCATTAAGTATAAGTAAGACCTTGGCGCCTGTTAAGTGTAAGTAGTGTCTGATTTCCGCTAAGTGTCTCCATTAAGTACGAAAGAAAGAGAAAGGAAGAGAGAGAGAGAGAGAGAGACTCCGCCAACCATCGACCTCAGTTGTCACACCTCGCTAAATAAAGTCTAGTTGTTGTTTGTTTGTTGTTGTTGTTGTTTCTGTTGTTGTTTTCATTAACATCAACTGGACATAGACAGACAATTGTATTTTTGGTTAACTCTCTCCCTCTCTTACTTCTCTCTCTTTTATCATTTCTTTTGTCTCTCTCATATTAATCGTGTTTTACTCCTGCAGGCCATTCACTTACCTGAAACCCTGATAAACATTTCAATTTTTTCGTAATTAATTTCATTAGTTTTGTGTTTACCTCTTTTTTGTGTGTGTTGGTTTTGCAATACGAGGAAGAATGTTGTGTTTGTTTATTTTTTTGTTTCATTGTGTTTTTTGTTTATTCTCTGTCTCTCTGCTTCTTTTTCTATCTATCTATCTATCTATCTATCTTTCTCTCTATCTACTCAACCAATCACAGCTCTCTTCATCACCCTATATCGACCAATCACAGCTCTTTTCATCACCCTGTATCGACCAATCACAGCTCTTTTCATCACCCTATATAGACCAATCACAGCTCTCTATCCCGAGCTCGTGTCAACCAATGAGAGGTTTTTATTTTAGTCCCGTTCAGCCAATCACGTCATCAGTATTATAATAGGTTTTGCAGACAAGGTAAAAGATTTTATAGACAAATCATATTGAACGTTTTTATTAATCTGTTAAGCAAATGGACAGATTATTGTTGATATTGACAATTTTTTGGAGATTAAAATGCGATATTTAGAACTAGCTGTTATTAATTTGTTGAGTACTTACATAGACACATACATAACGTACATACACATTCGTCTAACTCTATTTCCATCTGTCTAATTATATCCAAATCCACCTCTAATTCTAAGTCTCTTCATGGGTTTCCCACCTGACTAAGGCCTCCGAGACATGCAGATTTGAAACCCTGTGTCACATCAAAGCTCGTGAGGAGTACTTACAGATGCTTCACTCAGCTTCAGACAGATTAAGACAGCCACATATTTAAGAGGTGATGAGATGATGGGGGTGAGGGGGGGAGGGGGGGGAAACGGGGGAGGGGGGAGGGTGTGTCTTTAGGAGGTAGAGAGGTAGGGGTGTTTTTTGTAGGGGTTGTGCTTGCAGGGGAGGAGAAAGAGGGGTGTCTTGAAGGAGGAGGGGAGACACGGTGGGGGATAGGGGGTGTCTGAGGGGAGGGAAGAGGGAGGTGTGTGTGTGTGTCACTCTCTATTTTCTTTCTTTTTTTTCTTTTTACTTTTATCTTATATTTACTCCTCACCACATAACGCACTGAAGACGAAGAGTCATTCCTCACCTCACTACACCCTGAGGTAACACAACCATCTCATCCCTAACTGAGTAACGATACCTGGTGGAGAGAGAGACATAGAGACAGACGAGGGAGAGACAGAGACAGATAGACGAGAGAGAGAGAGATAGAGATACATAGACAGACGAGACAGAGAGACAGACAGACAGACAGACGACAACAACCACGAATTTTAAACGCGATTCTACTTGACAGGGACTTAGCCTCACGTACTTCACGGCCACTTACTACAGTCACCGGAAAGACTTAAGATTACAGCGACTAGATTAATGCCCTGACTCGACTGTATCGGGTTATTGCGACTAGATTAATGCCCCGACTCGACTGTATCGGGATATTACGACTAGATTGATGCCCCGACTCTACTGTATCGGGGTATTGCGACTAGATTAATGCCCCGACTCGACTATATCGGGGTATTACGACTAGATTAATGCCCCGACTCGACTGTATCGGGGTATTGCGACTAGATTGATGCCCCGACTCTACTGTATCGGGGTATTGCGACTAGATTAATGTCCCGACTCGACTGTATCGGGGTATTGCGACTAGATTAATGCCCCGACTCTACTGTATCGGGTTATTGCGACTAGATTAATGCCCCGACTCGACTGTATCGGGGTATTGCGACTAGATTAATGCCCTGACTCGACTGTAACGGGGTATTTATGACCATTACACGGTATGAACCTCTGGGCAGGTATACGGAACTCATATCCTGATTGGTTAAAAGAAATACGGTGTTGCTGACTTTGAGAACGACTGTGAGTGGCTGTTATGATCGTGTCAACAGTGGTTAAAGACAGATAATTGGTCAGACAGCCATGTGTTTTGGGTATGTGTGATATTTAGTATAACTTCATATGTATAATCTGTCATTTCTAGTATGATAGCCATGTATGATATTTTCTCACCTCCAGTATGATTTATGTGTACACCTTTATCACTCCCAGCATGATTCACTCACGTTATCTCCTGTATAATTCAGACGTATAATATCCATACGTCCCCCCCCCTCTCACCCCCCACAGTCACATTAGAGCTTTCAATCATTCGGGCTGTAAGATATGCATGATTCCTTCCTTGTATAATATATCATGTTTGTTTGATCTGTACCGGGACTACTGCCTCTCAGATGAAGCTGGTTCTCCCAAGTAAGAGTATATTATCATACATGCATCATACTCCCAGCATACTATTAGCATACCAGGTGTGTGTGTGGGGGGGGGGAGATCATGCAGGAATATGATGAAAGTGACGTAGGAACTTGAGTTTGCTCTTGGTATGAAAGTGGAAAGGGGAGAGGGTACAGTGTGTGTGTGTGTGTGTGTGTGTGTGGACTATAAGGTGTGCAGGTATTTACATATTATAAATTCCAAGTATATTTTATTACGTTTTATACAATATGCATGTGTTTTATTATAGTGTAGAAATATATGTATATGTGTATACAATATATTCACACACATACACACACACACACACACACGCACACACACACACACACATACATACAAGTCACAGGTCTGCTTTAGTCAAGAAGGAGGTCTCGCAGCAGTTAACAAAGAGTGAGATAGAGACATACAGACACGGAGAGAGAGAGAGAGGAGATGGAAATAAAACAAGAACGAGAGAGCGAAAGAGAGCGAGAGAGAGTTAAGCGAAGGAGGTCCCACAGCAGTTAACACACTCGCCGTCATCAAAGCCCTGACTCATATCTCCTCCATGTTTGGATTAAGTCTCATCTCTTAGTATTTAAATTCAGACGCTTGTGAGAGATAGTATGAGAGACGGGGAGGAGACGGGGAGGAGAGACGGGAGGAGACGGGGGAGGGAGAGACAGGGGAGTAAGAGAAAGAAGTGATGTGGGAAGGGGGGAGGGAGGGGTTGTGGAGAAAAGAAGACAGAGAGAAAGAAGATAGAAGAAGACAGCGGGTTTATGAAGGGGTAATGACTCGAAATGATCGGCTTCAAGTGATACATTCGACAAAGACGGTTTGAAAAGTTAAGAATCATCATAGTAAAGAGTTAAGTCATCATAATTCAAGGAGATCACATCATACTCAAGGGGTAAAGTCATCATAGTCAGGGTTAGATCGGCATCATACACACAAGAGTTAGAATCATCTCATAGTCAGGGGTTAAGTCATCATACTCAAGGGGGTAAGTCATCATAGTCAAGGGGTTAAGTCATCATAGTCAAGGGGTTAAGTCATCATAGTCAAGGGGTTAAGTCATCATACTCAAGGGGGTAAGTCATCATAGTCAAGGGGGTAAGTTATCATACTCAAGGGGTTAAGTCATCATAGTCAAGGGGTTAAGTCATCATAGTCAAGGGGGTAAGTCATCATAGTCAAGGGGGTAAGTCATCGTAGTCAAGGGGGTAAGTCATCATACACAAGGGGTTAAGTCATCATAGTCAAGGGGTTAAGTCATCATAGTCAAGGGGTTAAGTCATCATACTCAAGGGGTTAAGTCATCATACTCAAGGGGTTAAGTCATCATACTCAAGGGGTTAAGTCATCATACTCAAGGGGTTAAAACGGCTTAGTATGACCCCCCAAAAATAATAATAATTGACAGCAGAATTGAAAGAGGCAAAGATGCTAGAGAAACGATGTGAGGAGGCAAACTTTTGATGGCGGTAGGAATTGAGAGTTGAAGGTGTGTGTTCAGAAATGGTTGAGGGAGAGAGAGAGAGAGAGAGAGAGAGAGAGAGAGAGAGAGAGAGTTCACCTCCACCACCAATACTCTTAACAAACGCTCCTTCACCACCACCACCACCATCACCACCATCACCTGCATGAGCAACTCCCCTCATCAAAACAACCACCACCATCAACCTCCTCTCCACTACCACCACCACCACCACCACCATCAACCTCCCTCTCCCTACCATCCACCACTACCACCACCAGTATCTCCTCACCACTCACAACATCATCATCACTACCATCGCTTCCTTCACCACCACCACCACCACCACCACCACCAGTCCCTCTCACATCTTGAAGTCGACAAAGGTTGCAACCTCTCTGATGCTCGTCTTACGGTCTTCCCACCCCGCCTACCCCCCTCTCATCCCTCCTACCCCCCCCACCTCACCCCCCCTCCCCCCCTCCCCCCCTCCCACCCCGCCTCCCCCCCCACGAGAGGAGCAGATCAACAGGGTCCATCAAGGCAGGCACAGAGGCATCTGATATTGGACAAGGACGATGCTGATAACCCGAGGATTTCTTGCTGGTCTGGGATAAGTCAAGAAAAGTCAGGTTAGAGTTAGAGTTAGGTTAGGTTAGGTTAGGTTAGGTTAGGTTAGGTTATATCCCCTCTCTAATATAAAAAATCAAACACTCTCTTCAAAATGGCGACGTAACCAGACAAAGACTCTATCCCTAACTATATTAATTCCCTTTTTCCTTCAGTTCTAACAATAATAATAAAACAAAATAAACCCGAGACGATATTCACGTGAGAAAAAAAAAATTGAGAACCCTGCCATAAGGTCCTGGGGGTCCTGGGGGTCCTGGGGGTCCTGGGGGTCCTGGGGGTCCTGGGGGTCGTTTCCTGGTATAAAAGTTGGCGATAGTCGATCAGAATATGATACACCACCTGTTGGGGTAGGGGGTGGGGGATAGGGGAGGTGAGGGAGGAGGGAGATATGAGGAGGGGTGGGTGAGACGGGGTGTGGTGGGAAAGGTAGGAGTGAGGATAGGAGTGATGGGAAACGTAAGGTGTGAGGGTGGGGGAGGTCTAGTGGGGGGTGGTGGGAGGGAGTAGAGGGAGTGAGAGAGGGTGAGGAGTGAGTGATATATTATTGCTTTTCTTGATATTCTCTACAGTAGATGGTCAGTCATAACTCCCTCACCTCCTCCTCCCTTACCCTCCCTCCTCCCCTCCTTCTCCCTCACTCATTCTCATCTTTGCCCTACAGAGAGAGAGAGAGGAGCTTTTTATTTAATCATATTGCCCGTTTCAGAGAAGCGTAAATCTCATCTGTATTATCTCTCTCTCTCTCTCTCTCTCTCTCTCTCTCTCTCTCCCTCCCTCTCAGCCACTCTCTCCCTCTCACTAGCAAGGGCTAAGACTACAAAACACATCGCCTCTCATAAGACAGGTCATTGCAGAACTAAAAATATTGGAACTAATCTTTCCCTCCCAAGGTTCAGGTCTGTTGAGAAGGAGACCGAATGAAAAATGCTTCACTCAGTTAGTTAAGAGTCAAATAGGCCCCAATTGTAATGGTTTCCAGGTTGTAATAGGAGCTAGTTGTAATAAGGGGTCTTTTTGTGATGGGAGCTAGTTGTAATAGGGGCTAGTTGTAATGGGGGCTAAATGGGGAAATAGTTGTAATACGAGCTAGTTGTAATGGGGGCTAGTTGTAATGAGGGCTAGTTGTAATAGGGACTAGTTGTAATAGGGGCTAGTTGTAATGGGGGTGGCTAGTTGTAATAGGGGCTAGTTGTAATGGGGGTGGCTAGTTGTAATAGGGGCTAGTTAATGGGGGTGGCTAGTTGGCAATAGGGCTAGTTGTAATGGGGGCTAGTTGTAATGAGGGCTAGTTGTAATAGGGACTAGTTGTAATAGGGGCTAGTTGTAATGGGGGTGGCTAGTTGTAATAGGGGCTAGTTGTAATGGGGGTGGCTAGTTGTAATAGGGGCTAGTTGTAATGGTTTAAAGCTCCAATTCTAATGGGTCATAATCTGTCTGAGTGTGTCTTTCTTTCTGTCTGTTTCTCTGTCTCTCTCTGTCTTTGTGGACTTATTCTTTTATTTTTATCTAATTATTGATTATTATTATTATTATTATTGTGTGTGTGTGTGTGTGTGTGTGTGTGTGTGTGTGTGTGTGTGTGTGTGTGTGTGTGTGTGTGTGTGTACTTATCACCATCATTATTATACTGCTACCTCTACTTTAAATGATAAGGACATGGGTGTGGAAATGTGTGACAGTTCTTGACAAGTATAGAAACGGGCTGTGATGGAAATGCCTAAATAAATGTGAGAATGATAAAGACAAATACAGTAGTGAAATGGAAATGCCAAGAGAAATGTTTGGTAGAGAAAGAGACAGTGAGGGAAGGTGGTAGAGAGAGAGAGAGAGAGAGAGAGAGAGAGAGGTACAACGATGGCATGATGAAAACACTTGATTGAAATGGCTTTGGAAATGTGAGTGTGAGTGTGTGTTTGTGGGCGAGTCAGGGGAGGTGTGTGGGGAGGTGGTGTGTGTGTGTGTGTGTGTGTGTGTGTGTGTGTGTGTGTGTGTGTGTGTGTGTGTGTGTGCGTGTGTGTGTGTGTGTGTGTGTGTGTGTGTGTGTGTCTGTGTGTCTGTGTGTGTGTGACCCTTAACCGTTT